AATGCCATCTTGATATTAAGTTGAGTATCAGGCCAGGAGCAGTGGCTCACATCTGTAATCCCAGCACTTAAGGAGGCTGAGGCAGGAGGATCCACCTGAGGCCAGGAGTTCGAGACCAGTCTAGCCAACACAGTGAAACCCCATCTCTAGCAAAAAATAACAAAATTAGCCAGGTGTGGTGGTGTGCACCTGTAGTCCCAGCTACTCAGGAGGCTAAGGCATAAGAATTGCTTGAACCTGGGAGGCAGAGGTTGCAGTGAGCTGTGATCACACCACTGCACTCCAGCCTGTGCGACACAGTGAGACCCTGTCTCAAACAAAAACAGAAGTTTAGCATCACCCGTTCAAGCCAGAGGTAGTGAGAAAAAGTCTAAGGACAACTTGTATAAAGTTGTGAGAGATTCACAAAAGAATAATCAAAACCATTTAGTGAAAAATATTACGGGAACACATGCTGTACAGCTGGCATTTTCTTCTATTAAACCTGAAACCCAACACCATACTAAATTTCTGACAAGGGAAATTTCACTGCAGAAAGTCAAAACACCAGCACACCTGCTCTGACTTGAGTGTGAAAGTAACACTTCACCCTACAGGCCCACCACCCACCTGCCCTGGGGCCTCTCAGCTTTCCCATCACTAAGCCTTACTCTTTCCCTTAAAATCCACAGGGAAGGGCAGCCTCAAAGAACAGAAAATAGTTGATGTTCTTTTGTCCCTTAGCCAAAAGGAGAAGCTGTGGCCTGACACTCCAGGTCTGCAATCATAGGAATATGCCCAGGTGGCTTCAAAAAGATGACTGCTCTTTTGCTTTTGACATCAGAATCAGAGCACAAGCAGATAGTGTGCCAACAAATTTCATCCCTGCAACAGTGTACCTGTCTATGACACCACACCTGGAAAGATGACCCAGCCACCAACTCTTGCCCTCGCCCTAAACAGTGTCCCTCACTAAAATCTCTACCAGAAACGGAAGTGGTGTGGCCCACCTGACTTTAGTAGTGAACTGGACACCGGTCTTGATGACGAGTGGCCGGTCAGGATGCATGGGCATGCAGGGCTGCCGCTCCACCACAAAGGCACTGAGGAAAGAGAAGACGGGCTCACATGCCACAGCCACGACCAGAAGTCAGCCCACCCCTCACTTTACCACGTGAGTCTTTTGGTGTTTTTTAGATGAGGGAAAGGGACAAGGATGCTAAGTTACCTTTTCATTAAGTTTCTAAACAGCTCCACGATTCTCTCCTCCAGCATTGGTCGGTGCTGTACAATGGGGTCCCCTTTGTAGGAAACTTTTTGCTGCAGCTCCTCCAGTTTCTTAATTTGTTGACGGGTCTGAAGTTGAGATTCTGCTAATGACGTTATCCTGCCAATAAATTAAGAAAGCTGCTAATTACCAAACTGAATGTACATAGGTGAGCTGGAGAAGGGGAAGGAAATACCACAGACATGGAGACCCCTCTACAATAAGGGGAATTTTTTTATTGTGGTGAAATATATATAGCATGAAAGTTACAATTCTTCATCTTAGGTTTATAGTTCAGTGACATTACGAAAAGAGGAATTTTTCACCAAGTAAGGTGGATGCTAAAAAAAAAAAAAAAAAGAAAGAAAATCATTTATAATTTATTTTTTTTAATTTATTATTTTTTGAGGTGGAGTTTTGTTTTGCTCTTGTTGCCCGGGCTGGAGTACAATGGCACAATCTTGGCTCACTGCAATCTCCACCTCCAGATGCAAGCGATTCTCCTGCCTCAGCCTCCTGAGTAGCTGGGATTACAGGTGTGTGCTACCACGTCCAGCTAATTTTTTGTATTTTTAGTAGAGATGGGATTTCACCATGTTAGCCAGTCTGGTCTCAAAATTCCTGACCTCAGATGATCCACCCACCTCAGTCTCCCAAAGTCCAGGGCCAAAAAATAATTTATTTTACCTTTTATCACTAGTCCCTTCCTAAAATCTCAAATTTCTAAGAGGGGGCTGGGCATACAAAAAGAAGCATTAAACTTCATACCACTAAGAGGAACTGATGGAGTTATCATTGGAAAATGACAAGCATTTGAGCCCAGATCTAGAGAACCTGAAATATGGAATTTAGCACTTACTTTCCCCATCCTAACTTGTCCATGAACGTAAAGACTCTGAAAAAGATTAGACAGCTCACAAAGATGGGTTTCAGCTAGCTCTGTCACATGCTACGTGTGCAAGCTTGGCCAGGCCCTTCACCTCATTTTTATTTATTTATTTATTTTTGAGATAGGGCCCACTCTGTGCAGTGCAGTGCAATGGCATGATCACAGCTCACTGCCTCCTCCAACTCCTGGACACAAGTGATCCTCCTACCTCAGCCTCCTGAGTAGCTAGGACTACAGGTGTGTGCCACCGTCCCTGTTTTATTTAGTTTAGTTTTTTGATATGGAGTCTCATCTGTCACTCAGGCTGAAGTGTAATGGTACATGTCTAGTTTTTAAAATTTCTGTAGAGACAGGATCTCACTTTCTTGCCCAGGCTGGTCTTGAACTCCTGAATTTAAGTGATCCTCTTGACTCTGCCTCCCAACGCATTGGGATTTACAGGTGTGAGCCATGACACCCAACCCCCATGAGCCCTTTCAATGTCAGCTTTCAGTTGATCAAAGGACATGACATTATGTTTGAAAATATTGATAACATGCATAAGGAATACGTGAATAGAGAGAGAAAGCTCATTAAGTCTATCTCCAGGAATAGAGAATATTAGGCCAGGCGCAGTGGCTCACAACTGTAATCCCGAAATTTGAGAGGCTGAGGCGGTTGGACCGCTTGAGGCTGAGAGTTCAAGACTAGCCTGGCCAACATGGCAAAACCCCATCTCTACTAAAATACAAACAAAATAGCTGGGCATGGTGGCATGGGTCTGTAATCCCAGCTACTTGGAAGGTTGTGGCTGAGAATCGCTTGAACCTGGGATGGGGAGGTTGCAGTGAGCCAAGATCGCATCACTGTACTCTAACCTGGGTGATAGAGTGAGACTCTGTCTCAAAAAAAAAAAAAAAAAAAAAGAGAGAATTTTAGTGTCATTCCATCATTCTTTGATGGTTTATCACTAGTAATAAAGACCAAAAGACCAAAAAGACAGAAAGTAAAAGGAGAGGGAGGAGGACCACTGCAGGGATTTCTGAACATTTTTCTGGCACTTCTATCCTTCCATTCCCAGAAGTTAAGCTTCTTCATTCCCTGATCAGGAAGCATTTTAAACTGCTTTCAGTAAATTAACAACACTTGGGGTTAGTGAGGATATGAATAGATAGGAAATAGATAGGCATTCTCATGTAGAGGTGCCCTAAGTTTCCAGTTCAGGTTCTCTGTATCTGTCAAGTTTCTCCTAGGGCAAGCTGGTGCAACATACTCACTATAGGGCCTCATACATGAAGGGTGTGCAGTAAGATTTGCTGGATGAAGGTAAAAGTGCAAATTACAGAAAAGCATATAAAGAAACATCCTTGGCTGGGCACGGCAGCTCACATCTGTAATCCCAGCACTTCTGAGAGGCTGAAGTGGGATGATCCCCTGAGCCCAGGAGTTTGAGACCAGCCTGGACAACAAAGTAAGACCTTGTCTCTACAAAAAAATGTAAAAATTAGCTAGGTATCATGGTGCATGCATGTAGTCCCAACCAGTACTCAGGAGGCTGAGGTGGGAGGATTGCTTGGGCCTGGGAAATGGAGGCTCCAGTGAGCCATGATTGCATTACTGTACTCTAGCCTGGGCAACACAGTGAGACCCTGACTCAAAAAAAAAATCCTGCTAATATAAACCATATAAATTTCTATCTTTATGTGTACATAATGACAGATGTCTAGAGTGAGCATCAACCAAAATTTTAACTACTGGTACTGCTGATGATTTGAAGTTTTTTTTTTCTTCTCTAGGCCAGGCGTGATGGCTCTTGCCTGTCATCCCAGCACTTTGGGAGGCCGAGGCAGACGGATCGCCTGAGGTCAGGAGATCAAAACCATCCTGGCTAACACCGTGAAACCCCATCTCTACTAAAAATAGAAAAAATTAGGGCCGGGCGCGGTGGCTCAAGCCTGTAATCCCAGCACTTTGGGAGGCCGGGGCGGGTGGATCACGAGGTCAAGAGATCGAGACCATCCTGGTCAACACGGTGAAACCCCGTCTCTACTAAAAATACAAAAAATTAGCTGGGCATGGTGACGCGTGCNTGACAGCTGGTGCAAATCTACTGGAAAAGTAGAAATAAACAGGCCCTCGGATGTATTGCTGGTGGGATTGCAAAATGATATAACTTATATAGAGGAAACATTGGCAATAGTTATCAATCACCAACTCCACAATCCTACTTTTAAGAAAGTATTGGCCGGGCGCGGTGGCTGAAGCCTGTAATCCCAGCACTTTGGGAGGCCGAGGCGGGTGGATCACTAGGTCAAGAGGTCGAGACCATCCTGGTCAACACGGTGAAACCCCGTCTCTACTAAAAATACTAAAAATTAGCTGGGCATGGTGGCGCGTGCCTGTAATCCCAGCAACCCAGGAGGCTGAGGTTGCGGGGAGCCGAGATCGCGCCATTGCACTCCAGCCTAAGTAACAAGAGCGAAACTCCGTCCCCAAAAAAAAAAAAAAAATTAATCGGGCATGGTAGCATGTGCCTGTAACAATCTCAGCTACCCAGGAGGCCGAGGCAGAAGAATCACTTGAACCTGGGAGGCGGAGGTTACAGTGAGCCGAGATTGCACCACTGCACTCAAGCCTGGGCGACAGAGTGAGACTCAGTCTCAAAAAAATAAAATAAAATTTTAAAAAATTTGCGTGGTGGCACACGCCTGTAATCCCAGCTACTTGGGAGGCAGACACAGGAGAATTGCTTGATCCCGAGAGGCAGAGGTTGCAGCAAGATGAGATCGTGCCATTGCACTCAAGCCTGGGAAACAGAGACTCTGTCTCAAAAAAAAAGAAAATTTTTTTTTCTTCTCTTGATTTTCTGTATTTGAATTTTTTCCCTTAAGAAGGGCATGTGTTGTTTCAGATTACTAAAATAACTTAAAGTTTTATCTATGTTAAGTACAATTAAACCAAAGCCTTAATTGAATCATTAAGTAAAATATTCTTAAAATATAATAATATAAATTTTTATTAATGAATTTTCTCCAAATAAAGTAAAAACTTCATTTTATTTTTATTTTTTTGAGTTGGGAGTCTCACTCTGTTGCCCAGGCTGCAGTGCAGTGGTGCAATCTCAGCTCACTGCAACCTCTGTCTCCCAGGTTTAAGTGATTCTCCTGCCTCAGCTGCCCAGAGTAGCTGGGGGCACCACTATGCCCGGCTAATTTTTATATTTTTAGCAGAGATGAGGTTTCACCATGTTGGACAGGCTGGTCTTGAACTCCTGACCTCAAGTGATCTGCCCACCCATCTCGGCTTCCCAAAGTGCTGGGATTACAAGTGTGAGCCATGCGTCCAGCTGAAATAAAGTAAAAACTTTTAACTCTTGGGCTTGATTTGAATATGGAAAAGACCCTGCATTGGAGATATAGTACCAATTCTGTGGGCCTGCAGTTAAGATCATAATTCAATCTAGCTTTCGAGAAAGAAAGGAAAAGCTTCTCTTTCATCCTTTACCAGTTTTCAAGCCGGTCTAGGCAGATGTTGGGCGGGCCTCCAATGCAAGCAATCTGTTGCCGCCTCTTCCAGTCAGCCAGCTCCTCGTCCGTGAGAGTTTTCTGCACGTACTCCATCGCTGACAAAAGCCCCGCCAGCTCACTCACGATGCTCTGGTTGGAAACCAAAACAAAGTCAGAAGACATTTCCTCAGACCGTCTCTAACCACATTCTTTAGTCAACTCCAGAGCAGGAACTTCTTAGAAACCAAGCAAGTTCTGCCACAAGACGCTGAGATCCCGCAAGTGAGCGAGACACCCAGGGGAAGTGGGCCGACCGATGCCCTTACTCTCCGCATCTGGTCCAGCGCAGTGAGCATCTGTTCCAGCTGCTGCATCTTCTGCCTGGTCACTGACTGGTTGTTTCCATTCAGGTCTTGCATATCTGTGGAGGAAGAAAAAACTCCTTGACCCGAGGGAATACTCCTGTCCTTAATAACCAGGCTCCTTTGAGCACCAATAGCTCCCTTGCACCCCGCCCGCCGTAAGGTCTAAACACAGAGTTAAGACAGATAAGTCTTTCAACTCAATCACACAAACTCACTTTCTAGAGGTTTTAACGTCTCTAATATTCACTTGCCTCCTTGACTCTTGAGGGTTTTATAGTTGAAATCAAAGTCATCCTGGAGATTCTCTACCACTTTCATTTTCTGTTCTAGATCCTGTTTAAAACAAACAAAAAAACAGAAGTAAAGAAAGATTTCCTTGGGAACAGAAAAAATAAAGTTTCTGAGAAGAATTGAAATGAAGCCAAAACCTCAAAAAAGATACATGCAGGACCCACAGGCAGTACCCCCGAGAGAAGTCTCCCTGGTGGCCAGATGCAGTGGCTCATGCCTGCAATCCCATCACTTTAAGAGGCTAAGGTAGGAGGATCACTTGACCCCAGGATTCAAGATTGGCCTGGGCAACACAGGGAGACCCTCATCTCTACAAAAATTTTTTAAAAATTAGTTGAGCGTAGTGGTGCACACCTGTGGTCTCAGCTACTTGGAAGGATGGGGTGGGAGGATCACTTGAGCCTGGGAGGTTGAGGCTGCAGTGAGCTGTGATCCTGCCACTGCAGCCTGTCTCAACAACAACAACAACAAAAATGTACATATATATATATATTTAATAAAAGCTCCCTGCCCAAGGCTTGCAACTTGCATTACCTGCACTCTCTTCCGGACATCCTGAAGATGCTGCTCTAGCATCTGCTGCTTCTCCGTCACCACGGCTGCTGTGGGGTGGTTGGCCTGGCCCCCTTGCTGCCAAAAAGGAAGTCAATGCACGTGTGAACACAGAAATACGGGGAGAGGAATACCTCTGCCCAGCTTCCATCCCACCCTACCTAACCTTCTTGTTTGGCTTGAGATGCTGCTGCCATCAGGAAAGGAAGGGAAACAGAGGCAGGTGCCATCACTATAAAGGTGATATTACACAGGTCATACTATAAACCCCCTCTATGAACTAAGAGACCACATGTTCAGCTAAGACATGGTCCCTGCCTTCAAAAAGCTCATGGGCAAGTATATAAAAAAATTCGGAACAATTTATGACAGATGTTGGATGCCTGCTGAAACTTAGTATCCAGTATATTTATGAGAGATAATAAAAAAATCCTGCCCTAGGGATGAAATTTCATATCAAAAGATAGTATCTCAGGGGAGAAGGGGAGGTTGGCTTGGAAAAAGTCAAAAAGCACATGGAAAAAGAATAAGAAGAAAGAAAGCCAGGCGTAGCAGCTCACATGTATAATCTAAGCACTTGGGAAGGCTGAAGTGGGAGGGCTGCTTCAGGCCAGGAGTTCAAAACTAGCTAGTCAACCTAGGGATGCCTCATCTCAAATGAATGAATGAATGAATGAATGAAATAACAAGAACAAATAGCATATGAAACTTAAAAATTATAGGCTTGGGCTGGGCATGGTGGCTCCCACCTGTAATCCTAGCACTTTGGGAAACCAAGGCAGGAGGATCACTTGAGGCTAGGAGTTTGAGACCAGCCTGGGCAACACAGATAGAGACCCCCATCTCAAAAAACAAAACAAAACAAAACAAAACCTTTTTTTTTTTTTTTTTTAATATTAGCTGGGCGTGGGCCAGACACAATGGCTCACGCCTGTAATCCCAGCACTTTGGAAGGCTGAGGCGGATGGATCACAAGGTTAGGAGTTCGAGACCAGCCTGGCCAACATAGTGAAACCCTATCTCTACTAAAAACAGAAAAAATACGCCGGGTGTGGTGGTAGGCACCTGTAATCACAACTACTCAGGAGGCTAAGGCAGGAGAAGCAGGAGAATTGCTTGAACCCAGGAGGCAGAGATTGCAGTGAGGTAAGAACACGCCATTGTACTCCAGCCTGGGTGACAGTGTGAGACTCTGTCTCACAAATAAATAAATAAGCTGGGCATGGTGGCATATACCTGTAGTTACAGCTACTTGGGAGGCTGAAGTGAGAGGATCATTTAAGTCCAGGAGTTTGAGGCTGCGCTAGAGCCAGTTTTACGGGCAACCATTTTCTTCCTTTCCCATGGTCCCTATCCAAGTCCACAGAATACAAACTTCTTAGAAGTTTTGGGAAGGTGACCCATGCCCCTACTTCTTCCCACAGTCAGAGTGATTCATCTGATTAGTAAGATGGAGAAAGACTGTGCACACACAGATCTTCAAAGAACCCAGCACCTAAGCTGGTGCCTCCCTCCTCTCACTCTTGCCTTCTTAGAGCACACCACAGGTAAGAGCAGCAGCCTGGTTTCTAGAAGCAGTTCTAGAGGCCTATCCCTCTGCCTTCAATGAGTGTTGGCCTACGGTTGCTGAAGCTCCATATAGATGGCTGGAGTGGGGTGGGAGTGCTGCTCTACAGAGCCAATCTCTCCACCCCAAGATCTAACTCAGGCCCAGGCATCGGAAAGCCCCTATGGTTACCAGCTCAAGCCATAGCTTCCATTCTAGTTTTACCAACAATACAGCTGATTTAACCTTCATTCCACTCCCATGTCTATTTCTCAAGTAGTACTACACTTAAAGGGGGAAAACGTGATTATCTCCCACAGAAAGCCACTCTAATACCTTTGTAAAAAACTTTATTGGCTCCCCACTGCTTCCAACTATAAACATCTTAAGCCTACACAGAAAGCTGTTTCACACAGTTTATAACTTAAAGTTTCCCTCCCCGTGCCTCAGTCGCCCTGAACTACCCACTCTTCCCTGCATGCAGAGTGTTTTCACACTCCCTCCCCACCCAAGATCCACTCAGCCTGACCTGGGCTTCAGCCCAAACACACCTGAACTCACTCACCTCAAATTCAGTTCAAATGGTTGCTTTCCTACAAAATCGTATTCAACCCCTTAGAAAAAAATGACACACATCCTCTTCTGTGTCTTTCTTACTTTGAGTCTTTGTGTAGTTATAAACCCAACTAGCCTGAGCCCCTGGTGGCAGGAATTACAACCAATCTTCTATCTTTAGCCCGTTCTAGACACTTAAGAGCATGCCAGATGATATAAACAGAGAAAATAGCAGTGAGGCCCGGGTTGAGGCCACAAATATCCAACTTATAGCTCTATATCGGGGGTTGCAAACTTTTTCTCTGAGGGACAGAGGGTAAATATTTTTGGCTTTCTGGGTCATACAGTCCCTGCCACAAATAGCCCTGCCATTACAGCACAAAAGCAGCCACAGATAATGCATAAATAAATGAGTGTGGCTGGGTTCAGAAAAAAACTCATTTACAAAAAACAAGCAGCAGGCTGGATTTGGGCCAAGGTCATGGTTTGCAGACCCCTAATCTATCTGATTGAAAACATCCTTGGTATACCCTTGGCGTTCCTACCTCCCATGGTAAGTTGAAGCCTCTATTAAACCACATCTTTTTATCTTGTGGAACAGGATAAAATATAAAGGTTTTCCGCAACAGAAAACCCCAGTGCTGCATGGACAAGTGCCTGTGTGATAACCTCTCAGGCTCCAGGGCCCTGCACAGTAAGTGTTATTTACCACCTCACTCACACCTGAGCATATCAGTTTTCTGCTTAAAATTCCTCACTGGGACTGGGCGTGGTGGCTCACGCAGGTATTCCCAGCACTTTGGGAGGCTGAAGGAGGGGTGGATCACCTGAGGTCAGGAGTTCAAGACCCGCCTGGCCAACATGACGAAATCCTGTCTCTGCAAAACTACAAAAATTAGCCAGGCATGATGGCAGATGCCGATAATCCCAGCTACATGGGAGACTGAGGCGGGAGAATTGCTTGAACCTGGGAGGTGGAGGTTGTAGTGAGCCAAGATCAGGCCATTGCACTCCAGCCTGGGCAACAGAGCAAGACTCCATCTCCCAAAAAAAAAAAAAAAAAAATTAGCCAAGCATCGTGGCTTATGCCTGCAGTCCCAGCTACTTGGGAAGCTGAGACATGAGAATTGCTTGAACCTGGGAGGCAGACATTGCAGTGAGCAGAGATCGCACCACTGCACTCCAGCCTGGGTGACAGGGTGAGACTCTGTCTCAAAAGAAAAAGAAATCTGCACTGAGTCCCCATTTCCTACAGTGAAGGTGATGATGGTGATGTCAGCGGTAGCAGAAAGCAGTTAACATTTTTCTTGGCTGGGCGCGGTGGCTCACGCCTGTAATCCCACCACTTTGGGAAGTCACAAGGTCAGGAGTTCGAGACCAGCCTGGCCAATCTGGTGAAACCCCCTCCCTACTAAAAACACACAAAAATTTACCGGGTGTGGTGGTGCCTGCCTATAATCTCAGCTACTTGGGAGGCTGAGGTAGGAGAATTACTTGAACCCGGGAGACGGAGGCTGCAGTGAGCCGAGATCGTGCCATTGCACTCCAGCCTGGGTGACAGAGGGAGACTCCGTCTCAAAAAAAAAAAAAAAGGCTGGGCGCGGTGGCTCAAGCCTGTAATCCCAGCACTTTGGGAGGCCGAGGCGGGTGGATCACGAGGTCATGAGATCGAGACCATCCTGGTCAACATGGTGAAACCCCGTCTCTACTAAAAATACAAAAAATTAGCTGGGCATGGTGGCACATGCCTGTAATCCCGGCGACTCAGGAGGCTGAGGCAGGAGAATTGCCTGAATCCAGGAGGCGGAGGTTGCGGTGAGCCGAGATTGCGCCATTGCACTCCAGCCTGGGTAATGAGAGTGAGACTCCGTCTCAAAAAAAAAAAAAAAAAAATTCTCGCATTTATGTGTCAGATGCTTATGTTATAAGCATTTTACATGTATTAATTCTATGAAGAAGGTATTATCATTCCCACTGGAGGAACAGAGAAAGTAAAAATTATTTACTTAAGGCTACAGAGCAAGTGGCAGGGCTGTGGGTCCAAACTGAAGCAGATTGGCCCCTTGTGGTAAACTGCTCTTCCAGAGCTCTGTTGTTAGGTATGACTAATTAAAACATCATCATGTGGCCTTTTTTTTTTTTTTTTGAGACAGGGTTTCACCATCTTGGCCAGGTTGGTCTTGAACTCCTCACCTCGTGATCCACCCGCCTTGGCCTCCCAAAGTGCTAGGATTATACAGGTGTGAGCCACCGCGCCCAGCCCCTATCATGTGGCCTTGACTAGCTCATCTTCCCTGACCCAATCAGACGCTGAACTTTCTACACTTCTCCCAAGAATACACGTTTCTGTTTCTGTTTTTGAACATGATCTTCTTTCTTCCTGGTGAGCTCTCTCTTATCAGCTGATGAGCCAAGGAGTTCAAGACCAGCCTGGGAAACATGGCAAGACCCTGTCTCTACCAAAAAAAAAAAAATTAGCTGGGCATGGTGGCGTGTGCCTGTAGTCCCAGCTACTCATAAGGCTGAGGCAGGAGGATCACTTGAGCCCAGGTGGTTGAGGCTGCATTGAGCTGTGATCACACCACAGCACTCCAGGTTATGTGACAGAGTGAAACTCCATCTCAAAAAGAAAAGAAAAATGATTGTGATGGTAAATTTGAAATGTAATGTATGTATATTTTCCCAAAATTTTTTAAAGAGCAGAAGGTCCGGGGAGAAAAAGAAAGAAAAAATGTCCCTGAGCATAGGATATTAAAGAAAGTAAAACTCCTCACAGAAAGTAAAAAAGTCTCCTATGACCAACTACTTTAATGATCTCATATATGCACTTCCAGATATTTTCCCATACATATCAATAGTATATGCAAATTGCATACATTTGTTTTTACTATTATGAATCAGATCTTTACTTTCTTTTTTTTTTTGAGACGGAGTCTCACTCTGTCACCCCGGCTGGAGTGCAGTGGCACGATCTCAGCTCACTGCAACCTCTGCCTCCCAGGTTCAAGTGATTCTTCTGCCTCAGCCTCCCAATTAGCTAGGACTACAGGTGCGTGCCACCATGCCCGGCTAATTTTTTGTATTTTTAGTAGAGATAGGGTTTCACCATATTGGCCTGGTTGTTCTCAAACTCCTGACCTCATGATCTGCCCACCTCAGCCTCCCAAAGTGCTGGGATTACAGGCGTGAGCCAGCGCACTCAGCCCAGGTCTTTACTTTCATTACACTTTCTAATAGGTTACTGCTGCTACTGTATAGGGAAACTACAGATTCTGAAAATATTTATCTTGTATACAATGGCCTTTCTAAACCTTGCTAGTTCCAATCATTTTGTTAGTTTTGTTTCTCTTGGATCTTCTAGGAAGACCTATCTATCTGTAAATAATAATAATTCTGTCCCTTGCTTTCCAATATTTATACCCTAATTTCTTTTTCTTTGTGTATAGGCTGAATCTTTCAGAAAAATATCAAGGGTAAAAGACATCCTTATCGTTTGCTGTTTTTATTGAGAATAGTGGTTTTTTTTTTAATCTGTCACTCTTAGGATATGCTTAAGTTAGAGAACAGTGTTTCACCACTGTCTATCATGCTCCCTTTGGTTTCTGATAAATACTCTTTCTTGTGATAAGAAAGAATTGACAAAATCCAACTGATATTGGGTCAACTGGATTGAAAGAAAGAATTGATTAAATCCTATTTATACTGGATTTTATAATTTAACAAAAACAATATTTTTTTCTTTAACTTACTAATTTAATGAATTACATTAATAGAATTTCTAATGTCAACAAATCATCCTTGCATTCCTAGAATATAAACCATGTTTGGTGGACTGCGTAGGATGCCAAAAATCCTAACCATTTTTGTTTACTTACACCATTTTTTAGGTTTTCTTTACTTTAAAAAGAAAAAAAATAGAGATGAGATCTTGCTAAATTACCCCAGCGGGTCTAACTCCTGAGGCTCAAGGACTCTGCCCAACTCAGCCTCCAAAAGTGCTGGGATTATAGGTGTGAGCCACCACACCTGGCTGTTTTTCAGGTTTTGATACGAGGATTTCTCTCCAGCCTCATAAAATAAGCCTGAAAGATCTCTTGGTTTTCTATACTTTGGAAAAGTCTGAATGATATTGGAATAATCTGTACCATGAAAGTTTGTCAGAA